ACACTGGGAGCAGATGGGCCCAGCCTCGCCACCACCCTGAGGGCCAGAAACTGCCCTCCTCCAGCCCCGCCAGCACTGAGTCCGTCTAGGTGACACTCCGGTGGCACTTCCAGCCCAGCCTCTCCATGCAGAGGCCAAGTAAAGATGGATGCGCTCTCTGATGGCGAACGCCGCTTGCCGTCTGTCTCCTGGCTCCCGGGCTGTGCTCGCTGTTCTTCTGTGGAATTCCACAGTTGCTGATAAACACTTCCATTACTTCTGAAGTTTTATTTATGGCTTTTGTTAAACCTTTACCCTGAAATTTGCCAGTTTAAACACACCCTGAGTAAGATTTATACGGTTTCCTTACACAGAAGCTACCTATCACGGACAGAGCCAAAATCAATGTCCAGGGCCTCAGGAGCAGCTGACAACTCATTTTTATTGGCAGAGGGTTTTCTCAGGAAAGGGAAGGAAAATGTTCCGACCCCAGAAACCTCTACTCCTCCAGGAGGCTGACAACCACACTGCTCCTTCAAAACTAACTCAAGGGGCACAAGAACCTACTCGTCTTCAGACCAGAGATGGCAACGAGGAAGCCAGCCTCCTTGGGAAAGCTCCCTGCCTCTCCATGGCTCGGAATGCCCAGGGAGGCATGCTCTACAGCTGAGCCCAGGGATTCAAAGAGAGCTGGGTACAGGGGTGGGGGGTCGGCCATGTCGAAAATTCCTTCTATGCTCTAAAATCCCCATCTGAAGGAAACCTCACCCACATCTTTTCAGGCCTTATCAAATAAATTAGGAAATGTCTTCCTTTGAAGATCAATGGTACGGAGATGACTTTGAACTCTTAATATCAGGCATTAGCAAGATAATGTTAGGTTTTATAAAGAATGAAAAGAATTTACCAATTTTCTTCCAGCCGTTCTCTCTGGACTCCACAAGGAAGCTAATCACTAGATAATTGTTAGATGGCTCTCCTGGTCCATTCGCATCTGTGGGAGTGTCAGAAAGACAGAAGGTAGAAGAATTACCAGACTGCGAGGCAACCTGGGAAGTCGGCAGTTGAGGGAAAAGCCAGAATACCAAGAGACAAGGGTATTATTCTGTGTGGGGCCACGACAAAATGCCACAGACTGGGGGTGACTGACATTTATTGTCTACAGTTCTGGAAGCTGGAAGTTCAAGATCAAGGTCCTGGTTGATTCTGTTCCGGTCACGAGTCTTCCAGGCCCGCAGGTCCCCAACCTCATATGGGAGGATGAGGGTCTTGATGTCTCTTCTTGTAAGGACACTACTCCCATGGCCCAGGGTCCTGCTCTTATGATCTCAATCGACTTCAGCTACTTCTTTATAGTCCCATCTTCAAATACAGCCACACTGTGATCAGGGCTTAACGTACAAATTTGGCGAAGGATGTAAATATCCAGTCAATAACACTGGGCTTGCCACAGCGTGGTTCTCCACACGTAGGTCCTGTGTCCTGTGCTCACCGGATGGCCCAGACCTTTCCAGGCTCCCTGCCTGGTCTCTGCCACTCCCTTCCCCAGTGCCTACTGCAGGGGCCCCTACATTCCAGATGCCTCTTCCTGGGCCACTACTCTGAGCTCTTCCTCAGCTGGCAAACTTCATGACGTCCCCACCATGCACACGGTTAGATCTATATACTTTAAAAAGCCAGTAAGCACAAGGATTTCAAAATCAGAACACTTGGAGTCAGATAGGTGTACATGCAAATTCTGGCTCTGACCTCCAGCAGCCAGGAGACCTTGGATAACTTCCTTAGCCCCCTCTGATCCTCTGATTCCTTCTTTGTAAAACGTGGAAAATAACAGGTCTTATTTCATTGGTTTGCGGTAGGCAGAAGGGAGGGAATACCTACTTTAAACTAAACAAAATGTTAGATCTGGAAATCATTACTTTCTCCCCAGCAACCCCTTACTGGTGTGTGGCTCCTACATCTACACCTCAAGCCCCGACTTCTTTCTAGAACTCCAGATGAGGAAAGCCAGCTGCTGCTCAATGTTTCCAAGCTGATGTCAATGCGCATCTCAGGTTCATCATTTCAGAAACAGCTCCACCCCAGCCTGCCCCACCCAACTCCTCCTCTCCCTCAAGCCCCGACTTCTTTCTAGAACTCCAGATGAGGAAAGCCAGCTGCTGCTCAATGTTTCCAAGCTGATGTCAATGCGCATCTCAGGTTCATCGTTTCAGAAACAGCTCCTGTCTACCCCAGCCTGCCCCACCCAACCCCTCCTCTCCCGGTGCTGAGTCTGCTAAAACTATGGACTGTCTTTGGCTCCCCTCTGTCTATTGCATCCCACATCTCAGTAAAGAAATCGTTCACATCCAGAATGGAACCACTTCTCACCACCCCAACACCCCTCCACCCCAGCTACCTGTCACCTAGAGGCTACAACAGCCTCCAGACTGGTCTCCCTGACTCCAGCCCTGTCCCCAAATGGTCAGGTCTTCACACCACACATAGGATGATACCTTTCAAAGAAGCCACATCGTGTCACCATTCTGCTCAAGACCCTCCAGCAGCCCCCCTCCCGCCCCTCTCTGAAGGTAAAGGTCGAAGCTCTGCACTGGCCCACAAGGCCCCATTGCCCCGTGATCTTCCTCCAGCTCTGCCCCCTCCGTCACTCCACAGCAGCACACAGGCTTCCTTGCCGCATCCTGAGTTCACCAGGCACGTCCGAGGTCAGCTCCAGTGCATGTGCTGCTCTACCCTGAATGCCCTTCCCCCAGCTGTCCACCCGGCTAACTCCTTGTATTCTAGCAAATGGCACACATGTCATCTTCCTAAAGAGGCCTACTCTGTTTGCCTGGTCAAAACTGCAACCTGTACACACACATGCTGGTGTGCACGTGTGGTCGCCCACCTACACACACAGTGGTCCCATGTCCCAGCTGGTTCTGCCTGTCCTTTCTCCTTGCACTTGCCTCTTCCTAACACAGCATGTATGTCACCTATGTATTGTTTTCCTCTGTTAACTGTAAGCTCACCAGGCAGTGTTACTTACCCATTTTGCAAACAGCTGAACATCCAGCCCCTTGCACAATGTCTAGCACACAACTAACTTGGAAAATTTTTGGTGAATGAGCAAAGGCTTAGTCATTCACACATTTACTCAACAAAGATCCTGGAACATCTCCAAAGCCCCTTCAGGACTCACTCTT